CCGCCGCCCGCGCACGGCCGCCGGCCTGGCCGCGCCTCGGGGGACCCGGGACCCTGGCCCTGGACGCCTAAAGTTTTTCTTCTTTTTGTTTTATTATTACTGCTTTTTCTGCGGGGGGACGGGGAGGGAGGAGCGGTCGCCGCCAGCAGCCCAAGATTTTTTTCCCCCCGTGGAGGATTCATGCTGCTGTCTGCAGAGTCGGTTAGAGAGTAAAAACAGCGCATGCCTTCCCGGAGTCAGGATCCGCAAATTCTGACGTAGCCCGTGCATCTTGAGAACCCCTAGAATAACGCCTAGGCGTTTAAGTGGCTATGGTCATTCCGCTCGCAGAGCAGATGGAGAGACGACGGATCTTCCTGCTCCTTACAGCCGGATGGGATGAAGACCTCGCCTGCTGAGCGCTGGGGATCTATCTATAGAGATGCAGTTCATAGATAACGTTCGCCAGTATGTCAGTGTGAGAGTGTAAAGTGGTGGTTTCTTAGACTCTCGGTGGTTTGACCTTGAACCTCTGCCAGTGAAACAGCAGATTACTTTTATTTATGCATTGAATGGATTGAAGAAAAGAACCTTTTTTTTCCCTCTCTCTGCGGCCGCAGTACGGGAGGGGAGTTGGATATACCTCGCCTAATAGCTCCTGGGCTGACAACATCATTATTGTTTATTCTTGCGCTCCAAAAGCCCAGGCGTCTGATGGCTCCCTTAGGTGAAGTTGGGAACTATTTCGGCGTGCAGGATGCGGTACCGTTTGGGAATGTGCCCGTGTTGCCGGTGGACAGCCCGGTTTTGTTAAGTGACCACCTGGGTCAGTCTGAAGCAGGGGGGCTCCCCAGGGGACCCGCAGTCACGGACTTGGATCATTTAAAAGGGATTCTCAGGCGGAGGCAGCTCTACTGCAGGACTGGATTTCACTTAGAAATTTTCCCCAACGGTACTATCCAGGGAACCAGGAAAGATCACAGCCGATTTGGTACGTATGCCATTAACCCTGTCGAGTCCGCGCGAGGACACGTTCCCACTGTAACTGCGAAGGTGGCGGCGGCTGGGCGGGGGATGCGGGAGGGTGTCTCTTTCTCCCCGCTCTCTCGCCCTGCCTTGCCAGCTCTCCGGAATTGCAGATCTGCTGCTGGCACTAGTGCAAGTCTACATTGAAAGGCCTTTAAAAATAAAATAAAATAAAATAAAGGGGTTATGATTTACGAATATAGCGCAAGTCCCCCGTTGTTTTGCATCGTGTACGCGGGAGGGTGAGGTTTAGGAAGTTTCTTTTGAATGGACTGATTCCACGAGCTTAAAGCTTTAATCATTAACTACTGAGAACTTAAAATGCATTCAGTTTCCTTAAATCAGTGGGTATCTTGTGCCCGGATTAGGGTGCCCCCCTTTTCCTCTAATAAGTATTCTCTTGAATTGTAAATCAATCGTATTGTTTCTCTCCCCACCCCACCCCACCCCACCCCCTTGCGGGTCTGAAAGCCCAGTAGGCGAAGACTGCTGACCGCTCGTTCTGTTGGGAGGGGGTCTGAAGTCAGGGCTTTGACTTTGTGAGCACACCGGCAGAGGTGGCCGGGGAAATGACTTGGGAAGGGGCGGAACTCTGGCCAGGCGAGTTTGTCCTTCCAGCTATCAAGTTATAACCTCTGCGTTTAAATTTCCATAGTGTGCAGCCTTGGGTGGGGGGGTGGGGAGGCTGGGTTGCCGGCGCTCCCCCTCCTCGTGTGCGCGCGCGCTCGCGCGTGCAAAATCTGCGGGCTCATTTTAAAGGGCATTCCGAGGATTTCATTTTCCAAGGAGGGTATTTGTGAGTCAGCACCGAGGGCTGCAGACTGGAGAGGGTGGCGCCTCTGTCCACTTCGATGCCTGCACACACGTGCACGCTGGGCACCCGCAGCCCTTCAGCACGAAGTCGGCTAACGCAGTCCTGACTGGGGTGGAGACAAGCTTACCCCCCCCACCACCTTATTTTACAAAAGCGAACTTGGACAACCAGAGTGTTGGAAGGAGTTAACTCCGAGTGAACCCACCTGACAATACTTAAACTAGGTCGTAAAACACCAAGTCCTGTAGTGCTGCTTCTCCCTCATGCTTTAATGCCAGATGTTGAACATAGTCTAACTCCACGCCTCGCTTCGCGGGGCGGTAGGTGATGCCAGAGGTGAGGCGGGCTCAGGTCTGGGGTGGGGGCGATTCCTGATACAGAGGCCCTGGATTTTTTTCCTTTTGCTTACTTTTTCTTTTGATCTTTCTGCGACAGAGTTTCGCTTTGCAGTTCAGGCTGGCCTTGAACTTACTTTGCAGCCCAGGCTGGCCTCGAACTCGCATCGATCCTCCTGCCTCAGCCTCCTGAGTGCTGGGATTACAGGAGTGCGCCACCATGCTGGGCTTCTTTTGCTTACTCTCCAGCCTGAGCCCAGAGCTGAACCGAGTACATTTCTCTACCCGTCTTCTCTTGTCGCTTACGGAAAAAAAAGTTGTAGCTCTTCGCTGTGCAATTATTCAGCTGAAATATAAGCGCCCTCCTCCCACCGCGGAAGCGAGGCCGCTGTGGCTGCGGCGAGGACTAAACTTTGCTCGAAGTGCTTTTCGGTCCGGCCGCTTTAAGGGCGGCCGCCCGCCCAGCGTTCCGCACCAGAACAACAGGCAGGGGGCGGCCGGGTGGGGGCGAGGGCGCCTGGCCG